TGCAACTCTGTGTCGGTCCCTTGGCTTCCTGCTCCGCCCACTATGGTATAGCAAAAGGCACGGTAGCTGTACACAGCCCTTTATGGAGACAAAGGAAAATCAGTACAACTGTTTATATATAGGGTAGTCACAGAGTGTTCCACAAGGTCGTGCCAGAATGTCCGTGAGGGGGCGAGAACCGTCGAGTCAAGGTGCTTGACTCGGATTGGCTGGCATTCTGACCAATCAGGGCATGCCTACGTCTGGCCCGTGTCCTGCACGTGACACATGCGTCCAAATGATGTGATGTTCGGTTATTAGGGACGGATGGCCCCCGAACACTCCTACAGCCTGAGAAAGTGTGTATCAAGAGGATATCCACGACTACTGTGGGTGCTTCTGGCTCTGTAACAGGGAATAAACCACGGCTTGCGACCTGAAAGTCAATAAAGCGGGACTTAGGACCGAAAAGACTGATGTTCAGCTGTGGACGGTACTTGACAAGGTTTCCCAGTTGGAAAAGCTAATGCAGGATAAGTCACAACGACGAACTGCAGCCGGCTTGTCGTGAATGCACCAGAGTGCATAAAAAAGTCGCTGGCGGAATGGATTACAGATTATCGGGCCCCTGGTATCCACTTTGTTTGACGACGTCGAACCAGGACTTGAGATGACGTGGGTCTACCGACTGCCAAGGAAACAAGATATGGGAAACGTTGCACCATACCATCAACGTCGCTCTGAAATTGGAGGATGCCCTGGACACAGTATAGCTATGAATAATATATTCAAATAGATATTTAAGGTTTTTCTTTATCTCTACCTTGTGGTCCATTGTGTCCAATCCAATTATGTTTACAGCTCCCCGATATTCTAAAGAACTTTCAAATTTCCGGGAGGAATTGTTCTGGAATACTGTTGAAAGGAATACTGTCCTCGTCTTTCCGATGACCGGGGTTGATACAACCCAGATGGCATGGTAATCGAAATGCTTCGATCATTATCGCCATTTCTCCTTTCAAGCCTCCGGCATCGCTTCACTGCGAAGGATGTTGCACAACTTCGTCAAAGTTTACTATGTTGGTATGATGCTAATAAACGGGATCTTCCGTGGCGTAGACTGGTAACTTAAATGCGAGTATTTTAGATCAGTTGCACCTGCAGATCACTGAGCCCGATATCAACGTTCGTGGTTATGCCAGTAAGTTGTGAACATGACTCGACACGCTTTCAGTCTGGGTTTCTGAAATTATGCTTCAGCAGACTCAGGTGAAGACGGTGATCAGTTATTACAATCGCTGGATGCAGGTAACTTGATCAGCAATCAAATTTGACTGGTACTATATCTTTTAGAAGTGGCCCACAGTGCATTCGCTTTCCGCAGCTTCACTTGAGGTAAGTCCTGAGTGCGGATTTTCTGACTCTTCAGGAAGTTAATTCACTTTGGTCCGGTCTGGGTTATTATTCTCGAGCAAAACTTTTGCATGAGGCCGTGAAGAAGGTGTGCCCGTTGCGCTCCGGATCCCAGTTAATTATCTAGGTTGTGGATGAATTCGGTGGCAATCTCCCTCAAACTGCTGAGCAACTGAGGGGTCATCTTCCCGGAGTCGGTCGATACACAGCGTGTGCAATTTCAAGCATTGCTTTCAATGAAGTGAGTTTTTTTTTTTAACTATTCTGGACGTAATTTGTGGTTTTATTAAGACTCCACTATTATTCATCCAGGTAGTCGTATGATGGTCTATCAAGAGAAGATTGTGGTCGCAAACTGATTGCTGGTCATTTTGAGTACTGTAAGAAATTCTTTCAGAGTGGAGTGACCGGGTTAGGTGTCGCAATGCCAGCCCGATTTATTCCATTCTGAGCCTTTGACTTAACAACAAGTCTTAAATTTTTAAGGAGTCCCTGTCGACATGCCGTCGGGTGAATATCCTGGCCCACTTGTTTGCTCAGGGCAGCGAGTTTTCGCTGATAGCTCTAGCCACCTTGCATCGCATCCTGGAAGGAAACCCTCAATTGTTACTCACCTTTTAGACAGCCACGCAGTCAACCGTGTTATTACGTACAAACTATCACAGTCAATGCTTGCCTCCTTTCCATAACCCAGATTTAAGTACAGGTATTTGAATTCAACGAGTGGTTTTATTAAGACTCCACTATTATTCATCCAGGTAGTCGTATGATGGTCTATCAAGAGAAGATTGTGGTCGCAAACTGATTGCTGGTCATTTTGAGTACTGTAAGAAATTCTTTCAGAGTGGAGTGACCGGGTTAGGTGTCGCAATGCCAGCCCGATTTATTCCATTCTGAGCCTTTGACTTAACAACAAGTCTTAAATTTTTAAGGAGTCCCTGTCGACATGCCGTCGGGTGAATATCCTGGCCCGCTTGTTTGCTCAGGGCAGCGAGTTTTCGCTGATAGCTCTAGCCACCTTGCATCGCATCCTGGAAGGAAACCCTCAATTGTTACTCACCTTTTAGACAGCCACGCAGTCAACCGTGTTATTACGTACAAACTATCACAGTCAATGCTTGCCTCCTTTCCATAACCCAGATTTAAGTACAGGTATTTGAATTCAACGAACTGGTGAGCCCATCACTGTATCACTCATTCGCTTGCCTACTTGTTCACTCTAGTTTGACTCTCCCCTGAATTAGGGTGAACTAGCTTCTTGAATGTCTCGATTCGCAGCTGCCCATGCATAACCATCCGCTACACTACTTCGGCTGATGCGTATCCAATAATGGCATACAGACCCAGGCAGTTAGCATCAATGTTAGTGGTATCAATCCATGTCCTAGGTTGATCCTTTCAACTACAATGCCAACCTTGGAACCATTTTCGCCCTTATTGTTTCGGTTCGTAGATGGTGAGTAACGCATTCAACTCATCATACTCGACGTCTTTCGATTAGGTATTCGAGTCCAATAATGCCAGAACATCGACAGTCGACCATCTCGTTCGATTTTGGTTCTCAAACGGCGGTGATCCGGAATACGCGTTTTCCAGGTTTTGCAGACACAAAGTAAGACAGCTAATCTGCCAGATTGGTAGATTCGGGCGTTGGTCCTAAGGCTGACTTTTCCCAGTGCGAGACTCCATTGTATTAACGCCGTGCAGGCTGGTTGCAACACTGCTTGGCGTATTCGTTCGAGACGTCTGATTCGAGTTATCTCTACACATTCCATCACCTTGTTTGTTCACCGTGAATGTTCGTCAAGGCCTTGATCAAGCACTTGATCTTGCTGCAGTGAAAGCATACTCTACTGAGAACCTGCTATAACCTGTGCTGATCAGTAAAGGAAACAACGATGTCGTCCACAAACTCTAAGTCCCTGTTTAATACATGCCCACTGTCCACGCAATGTTGACAGCCTTGTGCACGATTCAGTGGGTCGTGACTTTCAGCGATGTCAAGGACATTTGACAGTCCTGTCCAACCCTATTGATCAGTTTAAAGGTTGAAGGCCCTCCGTTTTAAATACGAATCCTTTGCGGTCTTCTAACTCCGGGCATAGTTATTCCTTCGTCACCACCTATTTTTGTAAAATTAAAGTGCAAAACTTGGAACAAGCCTACCTTGTTGCACAATCTATCGTGTGCAAACTGGTAGGCGGGAAGGCCAGATATAACAACAGTCCAACTTTTCAGGACGCATTTGTATGATCTACCAATCCGTTTCCTGTTAGTGCGCATCTGTAGGTCGGTTGGTTCTGGTTGTGCATCAATTCTCAGCTAGCTTGCTCGATCCTTCGTCTGATAATCAGGATTTTTCTGCAGAGTATTCCATTTAATAGGCTTATATGCGCCTAAGCGAAACTTCACATAACTGCGAAGGTGAAGTCATCATCATCATCATCATCATATCGACAGCATGACATCAGTGTTCAACACCGATGCTTCTCTGCCGCGAAGGTGAAGGAGCTGCCTTCAACCGTTTTTGGTGTGCGCGCAATTGTTCAATAGACAGTCGAGCCGTATTAGTATACTCAAATTGTTAAGGGTGTTGTGTGTGACCTATTGGGCACATAATCATGCTTGTACATGGGGTGGGATACTGTTAGGGCTCCCAGATATAGACAGAAGACCCAGTGAGTATGCATAATTCCATCATGGGCTTTCATAGTGAATTAAATTTACGATAAATCAACCCAAGAAACTCGCCTGCGGGGACTAGTGGATGAGAAGCTAGGAGGGCATGTTGAACCTCGTTGTTTTTCATCTAAATGTGTACTACAAGGTGGCGGATGATTTTATAGATTTCTCTCGGGTTTTGCCCCAAGAACGTTATGGACAATCCCCGATCGGATGTTGTGAGAAGTCGATTTTCTCTACAGGCTTTGTATTCATCAGAAAGCACCCTCCTGGTTCGAACGGCTTCAAACGCAAGGAGATTTCAAGCTATTCACCACAACGCATTATCATGTCCCTTTGATTCTTGGTGTTATAGACAAATACCGGATCAATGAACGCGTTGATGATACAACCCTGATGCCACTGTTAAGACCGAGTGGCTTTATCCGATAATATTTGGAGTTGACACTTCTACGTCGTCTGTGCCTTACATGTGGCCACCATACATTAATCCGGGGCTTCGGTGGGTGCCTTTTAGTGTGTTAAATTTATGCAGATGCCTCCAATGTTGACTGACTCCAAAAAACATTCAATATCCTGCGATAGTTAATATTTAACCAAATAATTTGCCTAGCGTATCACAGTGAGACTGATGAAGTACAAAATCGCCTCGATTAATACTGCCACTCAAATCAGCTATAACCACATTTGCAATAATTCACACTACATTTTCCGTTCCATCTTACGTGGTCACATGTTTCTTCTACTGCCTGGGAAACCGTTACTTCGAATTTCCTGCTTAATCATCTCCATTGAATGCATGTGGTATCCTGACTAACTGCGTTAGTCTCTTGTGCGCCCCATCATCCTTATGCATCATCATGCGTCATTATGCGTCACTCATTGCTAATCCGCCTGATCCACTGGTCTCCTGTCTGCCTATCAACTCCTAATTCATGCAGTATATTCTCATCATATAGGTACTGATTATCACGATGTTCCTGCCTACAGGACCCACTGGCTTCTCCAAGAGACTATCAATTGCAACTCCCGTTACACCGCTTTTACCTTCCTACCCGACACTCAATGCCGAAACACCTTACTCCCACCAAAGGCTGCCCTTTCCACGTGGTGGTCAGGCTTGAGTGGTGTAATGATGCCGCGGTCTACACCAGCTGGAACTTCCACAAGGTGCAATCATGCCGGTTAGACCAAAGTAGATCACCCTGATGATGAGCAGCGAGCCTCTGCATATTGAATGGCTGTAATCCGAGACGATCTAGGTGCAAAGTCGTACTTTCCTCCGAGATGAGAGTGTGCAGGGCTCTTCTGCCTCTGCTTTGTAGGTCAGATTGGGCCAACACGACTTGGCTGATTATGGCATCGCCTCCAACTTGGTCATACTTCCATGGGCCTCCCGTTTTCCGGTGACATAAACTGCCGTATCTGAAACCAACGTACTCCTGCTCCTTCAGCCAGTTAACGTTGGTGCGCAAACTTCCACCAAGTGCTCTTACAGTGGACCGCTCTCCCCAGGGTCACCCGAGTCGGATTATTTGCACCAGCTCACATAACTAAGTTTTAGAGGATCCGTCCAAATATGTTAAGTTGGAAGGGAGCATACTCCAAGAACCGTCACTGCTTTAATTGCTCTAAGGGATACTGCAAGTCTACTAAAGGATGATCCAAATACATTTCAGCTCTGCCTAGTTAGCGCGGAGTGGGAGGGGGAAGCAACACTTCCTACACGGTGCCTCTCAACGAGTCCCAAGCTATAAACGCGTCAGTTGAAACTGTGGTTGTCACTTAAGTGGATTTTGAGATTCCGCTGCGAAAACACGCAAGAAGAAACGAAAGAAATCAGCTGAGGTAGTGATGCGCTTCACTGGTCGCAAGGTTTTTAAGATATCTGTCAGTTAACTCGAAAAAGCTTTTGGCAAATTTTTTACCGGATAAACCAGGGTCTAACACCGAGTTAACAATTGCCCTCCTACAGTTCAACTTTACTTCATGTTGTATGGTGTGCATATCGTTTTTTCCGTAGGCGGAATACTGTTTGTAGGTTCGGGATAGTACTTGCTATTCAGTCGAACGTGTACCGGAATTTTTCTCCAAAACGAGGATGTAGTACGAGGATGAGTAGTACAATAGATGATTAGGTGCAACGTTGGATCCTTCCAAATCTGCTTGAGTTCATAAATTGTTTCGCCAGCAAGGTTGCACCTTAAAACGTTTCAGGTTAGCCATCACGATTGGTACTATTTTTCTACTTACAATACGAGAGGGAGGTTAGTCCGATTGCACCTATGACTGTCATGTCGCGTGTGGTTTAGTCGTTGCAGTACCCTGCGTTTGGAGGATGTATCCGAATACAGCCAATCAAGTGGATCCGCGTTTAAATATGTCTTATGTTCCATTTGATTCGTTGATAGCGCCTCAAGTCTCTATTACTGCTGACACTTGTCTTTATCACCCAAACCACATTTCCTCTAGCGTGTTCCCGTCTTGGATGGCAACGTGATGCGCGTCCTCACCCGGTTACGGGAAATAGGCTCACCCATCCAACTCAACACAACCAACGCCGTTTTGTGGGATCTTGCCGAACAGCTAGTTGACCCTAACCGCCCTGGCGACTTTAATCAGGCCATTATGGAACTCGGAGCTGTTTGCTGCAAACCCAAGCAACCCAACTGTTCAGAATGTCCGCTGGGGGAGATAGGCCTTTGTGGTGCCTACGAGTCGGTTGGTGACCACTTAGTTCTTAACATCGTTCATTAACCTTTAGGTAAGACGGCGCGACAGCTTCAAGATAAAGCCATCCAGCCAACCTACTCCCGATCAGAGGTGCGTTCCTACTTTTTCGCCTTGTATTGCCGTACAAAAGGATACCCCTTCCAGATATTGAAGACTGCGGCTTGTGTATGCCGGCAGATGCATATGACTCGAGGTAAGCTGTCGCACATGCCTGTTGCATAGATGCCATGCTTACACGTAATTCTGCGAACGGTAGCCAGACATATCATCTGCAAACACAGCTAGGCTTTGGAACTTACACATACTTACACTTACACCACATGGTAATTGCTAAGCTACGTGAGAACCAACATTGCAGTAACCATACCATGTATAGTATGAGGACTAATACACCAGTCCGTCTAGTGGAGGCCTGTCTACAGGTGGCAATGTAATCCAGTGTTGTTTACTAAGGCAATGCAGTCACTGAATTGACCCGTGCTCCGATTTCCAGTTTGAGTGCTTAATCATTATGTTAGTGATTGTGGGAACCGCCCTATTATGACCTCATCGAATTAGTCTACTCTTTTGAGTGGTAGTCCTATTTCAGATGCATGGTAGACCACTCGATTGTACTCAAGTTTAGCCGCATCATGTCTTTCGTTAAGCTGTC